AACAACAACAACAACAACAACAACAACAACAACAACAACAACAACAACAACAACAACAACAACAACAACAAGCGCAACCAGCGCGTCACACAACCACGCCGAAGCAACAACCACTCGACTCGCTGTGGCTGAAACCGGCATGGTACACGATGGTGGCCACCTTGGAAGAGCCAAGGCATGCGAGCCACCTGCTTCGGTTGCGCAATCTCATGAGCCGTGCACACACGGAGCACCTGTTCGTGGCCCTGCGGGTTCACGCGCCTTCGTTGAAGATCCACAATGCCAAGAGTGTCGTGGTTGTCTTCAAGGCCGCCGTTGACACGATTGACCTTCGCAACATCGACTGCGTGGAATGGAGCGTGTGGGGATCTGATCCTCCCGAGGCCGTGGTGGAGAACGTGCGAAGCATGAAGGTGCTCGGCAGCGAGCACTCCGCGTTCAACAGGTTTGCCGACGTGAGCATGCTGGCGGGCGTGTCCGTTGCCGAAGTGCGCAGCCTCAACCGCCGCAACCCCCTGACAGACATCACGGCACTGGCGCACGTGCACTCGGTCACCCTCGTCGACCTGCGGCACATCACAGACCTCTCGCCGCTGCGCAACGTGCCCGGCACCGTGTACATCAAAACCTGCGAGCGCGTTCTTGCGCAAGAGCTGACGTTGCACGCGCGCCACGTGGAGCTGCGTTTCATGCGAGGCCTGCCTGGCGCTCTGTGTGCGCCAGACGCAGAGACAATCGTTCTCAGCAACTGCGACCGTCTGCAGGCGCTGGAGTGCGGCGCTGGGCTGAAGGACCTGAACCTGTCCGGCTGCTATGCCCTCACTTCCATCGTGAGCCCACCCGGCACGGTGATTGAGACAGCTGAGGTGCACTCGCCTCGGCACTCGGACCTTCTGTGGGATGCACTCCACCACCAGCGTATTCGCACGCTGAAGACCAACGTTGTGCGCGACGAACTGCAACACACGCCTGATGGGGTGCCGCGGACACTGTCGCAACTCGTGGACCGGCTCCTGGTGCACGTGGACAAACTCGAGCTGTCCGTGTGCTTCCTGAAAGAGCTGGCAGAGCTTCCGCCCAATGACAGAATTGAAGTTGACGTGCGCTGCTCTGTTGGTGACACCAAGATCAAGGGCCCGGTCCCACCCTTTGTGAAGAGACTTGCCGTTGACGTGTCAAAACCATTTGACGTCTCCATCCTGGCAGACCTGCGGCGTTTGCGGCTGCGCGCGCTGCCATTTATCCAACAAGAGGCCGAACTGATCCGTGTGAACGCGTTGTCGGGGCTGCAGGAGGTGATTGTTGAGGGATGCGCCCTGCGCGGGTGCATCTGCGGGTGCAAGACTGTTCATCTGAAGAAGTGCGAAGTGAACGTGGGCGTGCAGGGCGCAAGGGAGGTGCACGTGAACGATTGCACCGGAGACGTGTCGGTCACGGACACGGAACGCCTGTGCGTCGCTCGTGGCGCGGTCACCTTCAAGGAAGTGCGCAACGTTGTGCACATGACCGTTCGTGGTGACACTGCCCCGGCGCGGCTCGTGCCGTTTACGATTGAGTATGCGAGTGACATCACCACGTGCTGCTTGTGGCGCTGCGACATCAGCGGCTTCAACAGTTACACGTCAGTGCGACACTTGTACATCAACAGCTGCCGTGTGGACGCCGCCCGCCTTCTTGCCAAGCAGGACATGCCTCTGTCCCACGCGGTTCACGTGAGCCAATTGCTGATCCAGCATAGCCAGCATGGCGAACGTCCTACTGATGGCGTGGATGACAGCGGGGACGTTGATGATGGTGGCGATGGCGGAGATGGAGATGATGGCCTTGATGACGATGACGGCGTTGATGACGACATGCCCCCGTTTCCGCACAACTTCACCCTTGTGAACCGTACCATGCATGATCTTCGTTCCGTCTTTACCCCCTGGCTGCCTGAGTCGTAGAGCGTGTGCGTGGGTGCGATGTGTGTGTGTGTCTGTGTGTCTGTGTGTGTCTGTGTGTGTCTGTGTCTGTGTGCGATGTGTCCGTGTCTGTGTCTGTGTGCGCAGCGCAGCGTGTGCGCGAAATGATGATTTGATGGCGAAGACTAAGACTGTTTTGCTTGCTTGTTTGGCTTCTCCTCTTTTCTCTGACTCAAGCTCCCTGGCTGCTTCTTCTGCTCATCTTCACACGTGTGCTGTGCCATGACTTTGGATAAGAACTTATGATTCGTCTATCTGCTCTATGTCTCTCCTCACTTTGAGAACTAAAAACACAAAATACCCGAAACACATCACGAGATCACACATCACAATCACACACATGTATCCATGTGATGAATATCTCCTTCGCTCCACCTATCCACTCCCCCCCCCACCTCCAAAGTCACTCAACATCCTGAGTCAATGATGAGAACAGAGTCCGCACTGTGCGGCATGGCGTAGACGAGGCCGCTGCTGCCGTTGACGTTGCTGACAAACACGCCGCCAACCCACGGCAACAAGCTGTCCACCGTGACAGGCAGGGTGGTGGTCGTGGTGTGCATGGTGTTCGTGGCCGTGTTGATAACGAGGATGGCACCTGTGCTGACGGGCAAGCCGTAGATAAGGCCGTTGGACGCGCGAATGCCACTGATCCACTTGCTGACGGAGGGGTCGAAGCCCGCCATGGTGGTCACGTCCGTGGTGTTTGTGGCGGGGTCGATGATGAGCACGGCGTCGGCGCGGAGAGGGATGCCGTAGATGAGACCGTTGGAGCCAAGCACGGTGTCGTACCAGCGATCGGAGCCAGAGCCAAGACCAGCGATGCGTGTCAGGTCAAACGTGTTTGTTGCTGGGTTGAGAATCAGCACAGCGTCTGCATTGCGTGGTGCGGCATAAATGAGGCCGTTGCTGGCAAGCACGCCCATATACCACTTGCAGCACGCGATACTGAACCCAGCGATGGTGGACGTGTCCGTGGTGTTCGTGGCCGGGTCGATGATCAGCACGGCCGTGGAGCTGTAGGGGACACTGTAAATGAGGCCGTTGTCCGCGAGCACGCCATTGCTCCACTTCATGTCGTTCTCGGGGGCCAACCCGGCCATGGTTGTTGCGTCGACCGTGTTGGTTTTCGGGTCGATGATCAGGACGGAGAGCGCTGAGTATGGAATGCCGTAGATGAGGCCGTTGTCTGCGAGAACACCGCCAACCCACTTTGTCTTCATCGTGGTGTCGTCGTCGAGGAAGACGCTGGGGATGGTGGTCGAGTCCGCAGTGTTGGTGCTGGGGTCGATGATGAGAACAGACTCTGCATTACTCGGCATGGCGTAGATGAGACCATTGGGCGCCAGCACCCCACCACTCCATTTTGACAACCCATTTGGGTCTGGGCCAGGAACGCTGATGCCTGTGATGGTGGTTGTGTCGATGCTCGGTTGGACCACCCCTGCCGCACACAGGCGCTTGCTCAGCAGCTCGGTTTGAGCAGTCAGCGCACGGATCATGGCCTTGCGGCCTTCCATCTTCGCAGCCAAGCTTGTGACTGCATTCTGCTGCTCCCTGATCACGTGTTGCTGTGCACGGGCTGCGGCCAACACATCCACGCCGTTGATGTACACCGGGTGCTGCAGCGGGTCGCTCGTGTTGATGTGAAACGCGCCCGCGGCATCCTCCTCCAACACGACTGCGGGGCCATCATCCGCGACCGAGGAAGGTGCAGCAGCAGCAGCAGCAGAAACGCCAGCTCGGTGGTTGAGGGTGAGGGTGAGGGTGGTGGTGATGAGGAGGAGGGCGAGGAGAACCACAACAACAGGGTGGAGGCTCAGCCCAAGATGTGCACGCATGTTGCTTGCTCTTCCTCGTGCGAGCAGCGTGACGTGATGGACATAAATGCGCATCAGATCATTTTGACGGAAAAGAAAAAAAAAGAAGACAGCAAACAGGGTGACTGTGCACGTATGTCTGTTTCATTCCTCGCAGCGACCGATGAGGATGAGGGTGACGGCTGCTGTGCTCTTGGCTGTGCTGCTGGCAATCGCAGCGTGCTTGTGGCTGCTTGTTGCGGTGACGGCGACGATGCTGGACGGGCTTGAAAGTCATGAAGGAGTGGACCCCTACACGGAGGACGCGTGCCCTGCGGAATGGAAGTGGCACAACTTGACCATGTTTAAGGAGCTCGCAAGCTTTTCTGTCTTTCCTCTGGCTCCTCGTCGTGCTGCTTGGATCGACTCTCCCGGTTTGATGGTCTGGCCAAAGTCCTTGGCGAGACTCATCTTGCGCAACCACTCGTCTGACACATGCCTGATGGGCTCGAAACACTCGCAGCTTGCATCTTCGGTATGTCCCGTCAAGAACAGCGCCTCTGACCGCACTCAATGGCGCTGGAGTGGCCTGGAGCTGCTGGAGTTGCTGCTGGCCCTGAGTCCACTGATAGCGCTACCCATGGTGTGGCTGATGCGACAAGTCTTCTTGTTCAACAACCGCAACTGCGAGGAGAACAGAGCGGCTTGGTCAACGTTGATTCCGCGTCACCTAAGCGCGATCTTAGTGTGCAACACCTTCACCTCCAGTGCTCTCCTTTTCACTTTGCACCACCTGAGGGGTCAGTATCAGGAATCCGATTGGATTGCTGTGCTCGTGTTTCAGCTCATTTTCTACGCGATTGGTCTGATGGTCTTGCTGGTGGTTGCCCAGATGCTGCGCGATGGCATGCGCCGTGTCCTTTACAACACTGCTGACCCCCACGACGCCCTGTTTGAGCACATGCACGTCTTCATCGCTGAGGAAAACGAAGGTGATGAGGACGAAGACGAAGGTGATTGGGAGGAAGATGAGTGGGACGTTGACGATGATGATGACGAACAGGATGCACTGTTTCAGATGGCTCAACCTTGGCCTCAGGATGGGATGGGTCCACACCTGCTACCTGTGCCACGCTGGCTGGTTCTGCGGTGGCGACGGCAACGCCGCGACGATGACCAGCGCGCCCGCCCAGACGAGGACATACACCGGCGTCTTGGATGGGTGTGTCTGCGTGTAGGC